TGGTTATTTCTACTTTGTTGCCTTCAATTATTTGCCATTTGTAATTTATAGATATAAGAATGATGGGTAGCAAAAATATCTGTTTGAATCTGTAATTCCCTTCACAGTCTTCATTTTTGTATTCAAGTGATGGCTATTTTCATGTTGCCAGTGTTCATTAGAAGTTCAATCTGTTATTTGAATGAGATCACAGAGATTGATAGACATTGCCAATATTGTTGTATGAAATAAAAATCCAATTATTTGTATTCAGCTTATTAAAGCCCAAATGTCATTTGAGATTACTTTCATACACATTACTGTCTCTCTACCTTTTCTTTTCTGTTTTCCTATTTTGTCTTGGATATCTTAGTAAAGCAATTTATTCTGGCAGTGGAATAAAATTTTGGGAATTATGCAGGTTTTTTTCTAAGTAATGATGGTCATTACTGAAATTGATGCAACATCATAAAAGAATAATCTTCTAACAAATAGGTTGTTTTGTGTATTTAAATTTCCAAATGAAAATACCACAAACTCTAATCCTCAAGTATCACGCTATCTGGGAAGCAAAGATTGATTTGACTACCATTTGACCAGGTCCAAATGTTTTTCCAGTTTGTGCTTGATTGCATGGAAATTAGATTCACTTTGCAATAATCTAACTTTTCCTTCTTGTTTCCTCTTCCTTCCTATAATCAGGTTGATGTTTACTAGTTCAGCAACCCAATATTTTTCCTTAGCATAAGTTGGGCATGTTACTGCATCAATGGCAAGACTGGTATGCCTACTATCTTCTTGTGGTTTTGTTGCATTATCTTTTGTTGTCATTTCTTACCCTTAACACCACCTTTTCCTACAACAAAATATCGTCACATGTTTGGTTGTGTTAACCTTTTCTGTTGTCTATTTTACCTTCTAGAAAATATAGAAACTTGTTTGGGAAATTGTTTTTAGAAAGAAAAAAAAAATTGAAAGCAACCTACGTTCTAAGAAACACCAAAAAAATTGTTTTTGAATGTTTGAAAATTATTTTTTTTTACCAAAATGAAAATGAAATAAAAATGGTGGGTATTTTTAAACTTTTGTTTTTGCTTCTGAAAAGACAAAAAACCTCTATTATTAGAATCATACGATTCAATGGGTAATCGATACAAACAGGTTGTGTGAATCGCAAACAACTATGAATCGTAGGTAAATATCGGTGAATCAGTGAACCGAATTGGTGAATCGTGAATCGATTCAATTCACCAAAATCGATGTTTGGCTTTCTTTTTGGATTTTTTATTATTGGAAAATGATTTACACAACCTTTTTAAGGTTTTTAGGATTACTATATGTCATCTTTTGATTTTTTCCCTCCCAATTTATTCTCAAATACTCGAACCTTAGCGAAAACAAAATGAATTTTCTCTCTCCACAATATTTTAGGCTTACGTATTCAATTTTATCTAAGTACTTGCATTTACAAAATGAATTTTTTGAAAGAATCAAGTGAGATTTTTAAAAAAATTCAAAGATTTTGATTTTTTTACCTTGTAAAAAGTTAAAAACATTGTTATTGAGTTATTATTACTTAGAAATTAAAAATCTGTCTTTGTTTGCTTTCTTTATTAAGAATAGTATATAAGAAATAGTATCTAAACTAAAAAGGAAAAAGGTAAACATGGGAACTGTGTTAACTTCTTACCCATACCACATGATCATATTTTCATTAATTTAAGTCTAAATATTTTATATTTATTAGATACATTTAATATCTAAATGTGTACGTATATTTTTTTATATAAAAATATAAAAATAAATGACCAAATCTTTACAATTCAAGATTCGATTCGATTTGCAATTAGATACAATACCATTTTGATTCATGATTCAAATTCCGATTTGACAACTATGCTGGTAACCATGTATTACAGATTCAAGATTGTCAATTACTGAATTTTCTATGTATCTCACAAATCAAAATAACAATCTTTCCCTTAGGAATTAGGTTGGAATTATTATTATTATTATTATTATTATTATTATTATTATTATTATTATTATTATTATTATTATTATTATTATTATTATTATTATTATTATTATTATTATTATTATTATTATTATTATTATTATTATTATTATTATTATTATTATTATTATTATTATTATTATTATTATTATTATTATTATTATTATTATTATTATTATTATTATTATTATTATTATTATTATTATTATTATTATTATTATTATTATTATTATTATTATTATTCGTTTGGTGCAAGATCATGGTACCAATTTACCAAGGAAGTGGGGCAACATAGTTTATGGCAGCAACGTTTGGTCATGGTGGAACAGTTTGTGGCAACGACAGCAACATGTTATCATGGTGGAGCAATTTGTGACAACGTGGTTAGCAACAGTTTGTGGCAATGTCAAGCCTATAAATAGGCTGAAGAAGGAATAAGCAAGGGATCAAGAAATCATCAAACTCATCAGAGTCTTTTATTAATTTTTAGGAGTAGATTATCTTAATTTTTAGGAGTAGTTTTTTCTGTAATTTGTGACTTGTAGTTCTTGTAAACTTAGATAATTTATTTGGAGTTGTCTTCATTTATTTGGATACTTCACTCTTTCGATTTTTAATTGTTTCAAAAAAGTTCTTGTATTTTCAATGCATTTTAGAACCTTAACACAGTTGTCTGATTTTCTGTGTGGTTGTTTGGCTAAAATTGTTGTTAAGTCTCTGTCGATCAAGACTTAGCATAATTTTTACTAACAATTCTTCAACTTAAGGATATAGCTTTAAAGCATGATTCCACGTATTGGTTTCTTAGTAATAATACAAGTGCACCATGGAAAATGTAAGGTTTGTCCCTTCAGATAGATCCTAAGTTTTCTTCTATCTATTAGATTTCCAATTCTTCTATGCAAAATATTTTCTTATGTTTTCTTTTTTCAGGTAACTTTTAAGGGTAAATTATTATTATTATTTTTTAATTGAATGTGTAGGACCAGAATAGGAAAACGATAAACTGCATTAAATAACAAGTAAGATTTGAGCCCGGATATCACTCACACCTAGTAAAGGAGCACCTTTTCTACTAAGCCAACCCGTGGTCTAGGCCCTCTAGGATAAATTATACTTAGCATCCATGTATTATACGCTGAATTTCACTTTAATTTCTCATTTTTCTAATTGCAATAGTAAATCCATTACACTTTTAGTCAAAGTACAATATAGACATTCCATCATTTATCGTTTGGAGAATTGACGTTGAACTTCAATGGGTTCGTATACCACCCGATTGTTCTTGGTCAGATCACAGTTATTCATTATGTTTTTTTTTTTCAATCATAAATTTTTTATTCCTTGTATGGGGCCTCAATCTTCTCATGCATTAGGTGGCTTAGTTGGGTTGATGCCCGACATGTGCTCAGCTTTTAGCATAGACGGTGCATCATTTGTACAAGCTTGTGATGCCACTAATCTCGCCACATTAACTTTGGTGACATGGGGTGTATAGCGATCCCGGATTTACCCTTGTTGTACAGTGATCCGGATATGTGTCCGTGGAGGTTGGTAGTTGATTATTATCTTGTTTACATCCTTTTTACTTTGTAGTTGAGTTATGGGATGTGTTGGGCAGATTTGTTACAGGTTGGTTGAGTTTAGAAACCAAAACTAGTTGCCCAGATTTTGACCTGTCCGCTCGAGCGGGGGTTTTGGCGCTCGAGCGGGAGTTTCACCCATCCAGTATTTCCTGTGCAGTGTTCGACGCTCGAGCATGGGATTGGCCGCTCGAGCGGGATTGTGTGAGTGCCGCTCAAGCGGGGAGTTGGAAGCTCGAGCGGGAGACCTGTCTGCAAAAGTTCTGGGAGTGTGCATCCGGAGCTCGAACGGGGGATTGGCCGCTCGAGCGGGAGTCTGTGAGTGACGCGATACAATGATCTTCACAAATCTATAGAAGCACTTCAAACAAATTTGTTCGGCAAATCAAACCTGTGATCTATACTCTCTTTAATTTATTCTAAAACTAAATATGAAGAATAAATGCACTAGAGAAAATCTGGATAGCAATAAGACAAAATAACCGACTGAATTTTCCGACTGTTTTTTCCCCGACCCAAAGACTGCTGGAAATAGGTATGTATATATAGCCCACTTGGTAACCTTTAAAACTTACCCGAACAGGTATTGTTTGAAAAGAACAAGTGCACCACTTATTCAAATATTGATTTTGACCGTTGCAACTTTTGAACATATTTTTCAAATAATGAAAAGTGATCCGTTGGTCAAACACAATAACTGTCTGGAACTTCATTTAATAACTATTTCAAATATATATATATATTAAACTATTTGAATAGTATAATAAACAAAGGAAGAGGTACAAACTTTAGGAAACTTCTTAGGAACCTAAAATTTAAATTTAGAATTAAATTAAATTCCCACAATTACAAATTTTAGGAAACCACTTAGGAACCCAAAATTTGAATTTAGAATTAAATTAAATTCCCACAATAATTTTTATTGAAAAAATTCAAATGAATTTTACCTAAAAATTTAATGTTAGACTCGAAACACGACGTCAAATTCCCATTCACTCATAAATGGTTTTGACGTTCTGTCTTCACCTCTTCGGACCCACTCCAAACAACGTTTGGGGCGCACTCAAATTTGGGCTTAAAAATATGCCTATATTAAACCATTTTTCCAACATTAACAGAAGAGTGACATTGCAACTAGACAATAACTGGAATGGGTTAATTGTTGTAATTGAAAAATAAGAGATCAAAATGAGATCGAGTGCAAGATATCAAGTGTAATTTACCCAACTCTAACTATTTCATACAAGTTACAAATATGTCTTAAAAATATTTGTCACTAGATGAAAACAACGAATGTCATCGAATCTTACATATCTGCATGATATTTGTTATGTAGACCATATACACTAGGATTTTTAATTTTTCATATGAGGTGTTGGCCTCTCCGGAACAGTAGGAACCTCAACATCTTCTTCAAACATCTAAATTGCGTCCAAAATGGTAGGCCTCACAGAAACCATTGCATGAGTGCACAAAACCCCAATTACTAAAAACCTCTCCACCACTACCTTCACATTTGCACTTGGTTCATCTCCTTCACCAATCTCTCTTAACAAACTACTATCCAAAGCCTCTTCCATGTTCCCGCCTTCATTAGTGACCAACACCAATCTGTGAGAACCAATGTCCAAACCAGCGACCCCTTTGATGAGTTCAAATCAAAATCACCACCACGAAGAGCTTTCATTTTTAAATATATTTATAATTATTTACAAGGAATGATTTTGAAAATTTTTGACTTTTCAAAGTGGACATACATTTTGGGACAACAAAAAATATAATAATAGACCAATAAAATGGGATGGAGGAAGTATCAATCAAAATTTGAATAAAAAATTTCACCATATATACAAGCACACATGTACATATAGAATAAGATATGTAAGTTATATATATACACACACACACACACAAAAATAATAATAATTAAATATTAGGGTTAATTACCAACAACAACAAAAAAAAAACTCTAAGGTTTCACACGTTTTTCACTTTAAACTCCAGCATTTTTCAATTTAAACTCCAAAACGATTATCTGTCACCTTACACAGAGGGAGATGGACAGAAGGGGGCACATTGAAATACGGATAGAGCTCCAGGATTTAATTTGCTGAAATTGAAACACTGAGATTTAAAATTAAAAACACGTGAAATCTTGAGGTTATCTTTGTAATTAACCCTTTTTTTTTCTTATGCTATTTGATATTCACAAACATAACATCAATATGGAGTGTGAAAATAAGGTGGAAGTGAATTATAATGGTGGCTCTCACACGGAAAGAAGAAAGTAGTGACAAAGCAATTACCAATAAAAAAAAATTAAAAAATAGTGAAAAAAAAGCATTAAGCAAGTCTCTCTCCTAGAAATTATAGCAATGATGTCTATTTTATATGTGGCCCATGACCTTTTTTTTTTTTCAATTTCTCAGTCATTTCTGTATATTTCACTGGCAAATTCTCAAGTTCGGCAAAAAAAAAAAATTACGTTTTCAGATAATTAACTTTAATATAAGGAGAGTAGTGACAAAGCAATTACCAATAAATATATATATATATATATTGAAAAAAAAAAACATTAAGCAAGTCTCTTTCCTAAAAATTATAACAATGGTGTCTATTTTATACGTGGCTCATAACCTTTCTTTGCAGTTTTTCAATTATTTTATACGTGGCCTATAACCTTTCTTTGCAGTTTTTCAATCATTTGTCTACATTTCACTAGCAAATTCTCAAGTTTGAAAAAATATATATATATATATATTCAGATAATTAACTTTAATAGAGGGAGAGTAGACATAATAATAGTTAAGATTTTTGTTAAGTTAATGTAAATAAAAAAAATATGTCTGATTATTTTTTTGTTTTCAATTATGTTGTCCGTACTCCTTGTTTTCAATTATGTACGGGGAGGAGATATTCATCGTTGTCCGTACTCCTTGCATCCAAGCTCCGTGTCTATCCGATCAACCTGAAAACACAACGGCGGTGAGCTACTCGGCGGTGTGTTGCCGGAAAACCCCTCCGAAGGTCTTGTTAGCACACACTCTGAGAGAGGGAGAGAGAGAAGCTGAATCAATGTTAAGTTTCTCTCACCAAATGATGTTCCATCCCCAGCATGGGGGGCGCAATCATGCTTATATACTCTCTGCGTTCACCTCTGCACCCATTCGTCTATTGACACGTAGAGCCGCTCTCCCATCTGTCAGCGTAAATCTAGCTAAACACCACCTAATCAAACCACGAGACAACATTAGCGGGAACGGGTAGCTCGGTGACATCACCTCAGACTCATATGACCGTGCTACGTAACGAGTCTGACGGCACCACTCGCCGAGCTCCATCACAACCGAGCTCAGTAGCATTTTGGTACAATTGAGCTCCTGCCAAGTTAAGCCGGTCTTCAGAAGACCTTTCTCGCCGAGCTAAATGTGAGAACCATGAAACCAGGGTCGGCAGACGACCACCTCGGCCAAGTTAGCTCGGCCCGAACTTGGGAGCTGGGACTCGATCGAGCAAACCAACTCTGGACAAGCCCAAGTTAGCTCGGCCCAAACATGGGACCTGGGCCTCGACCGAGCAAAACCAACTCTGGACAAGCCCAAGTTAGCTCGGACCAAACACGCTCGGACCTCTTTCTGCCCGGCTCCTAACTCGGCCTAAAGCGAGATTATAAATCTCCCTCTCAATTGCCCCTTAATTCCGTCCGCGCAAGCGTGACTAGGATTACATGATCCGACCGGGGTCAATTCTCCGCCCGACTTAAATCTACAAGACGTTAACTGCTATAATCCCCATGCTCGGTTTCTTGACTTGCTCGGTCGACGCCTCAACTCACCATCCTGTCTCTTCAGTACTGACGCCGCCGTCATTATGGACACGCGTCCTTCGCTCATTGGTCTCAAACAGACAACCCCGCCGCCTCTTCATATTCGAATTTTTGGCGCTTCTTTTCCTCCTATAAGCACGTCGTCTGCCCCTTCCTCTTTCTTCCTTATTGCTCATCCTCCTCCTTAAACAACCTAGCGACTCAAACCTACAGTGTAACCCCCTCTATCAAACACTATTCTTTCCCACATCACAGCGTCCATTAGGTGGATTTGGCTTCGCTGTTGAAGCTCAGGAGTATTTCCGCACTTGAGAATCCGATTCTCGCCTCCAAACCCGTAAGTTCTTCGCATCTCTTCATTGTTCTTCATTTGATACTCGTATTTTCTAGGCCTATGATTGTCGTAGTTGAGTTTAGGGCATGATAGCAGTAGGTTTTAGGATGTAGCCCCCCAAAAACCACCTATGCCCTTTCTCCTTCAACTGGTCTTCATTTTTTATGATGAACACGTGAGGATCTGGGGCAAACCGGGCTCCAGGTCTTCTTTTGAACCCCAAAAACGCCAAAATCGAGCAAGTTGTGAGTTTGCAAAACTCGTGTTGGAACCGCGGTAACAGAGTGTTGGACCGCTCGACCGGGCTAATATTTGGTCCGCTTGAGCGGCCGAGCTTTTGGGTATACCTCTATGACCGAGATGGTCTGGCACTCCACCAGACCGAGCTAAAGTCAATCTCGTTTTGCGCGACCGCGCTCCCTCTTACACTTACACTTACTTTTACTGTAGAGTCCAAGGGGACCAAGCACCAACACCAAGGCTTTCAAAAGGCTGTGTTGTCTTCGCACGAAATTTTGCCAACCAAAACCGCCGCGCTGAGACAGGCCGGCTTCACATGGGGCGTTACCGCTTCCTTGTTGACACGCCGATCGCACTAGCCGCGTTCCGAGAAGAATATGGCATCCCCGCAGACGTACATCTCGAGCTCGGTGCCGAGGACACCAACCCTTGGAGCAGGCTGGACCAATGCCCCTTCACCGTGCTTTCCATAATTGAAGGCGGCCTTCGCTTCCCGATTCAGCCTCTCATGTGCGAGTTCCTGAGGCGCACCGGGCTAGCACCAACACAAGTTTCAACCAACATCTATAGAATAATAAACGGGATAGCCGAGCTGAACAACCGGCTGGGCCTGAACCTAGGATTAGCCGAGATTCTACGCCAGTTGTAACGCCCTCAAAATAAACCCATTATATATATATCATTGACTTGCATTATTTAAAGAAAATAATTTATTAATTCATTCATCAGAGTATTACTAAATAAAAGCATTACATGTAACATCGAATAAAATGCCCTACAGGCTTACATCTTTCCAAGCCAACACTTGGATACAAAAATATGAGTTCTAACTCAATACAAGAAAAGCCCTAGGCTTGAACGTTTACATGTACTAATAATTAAAGACAATTAACTAAAGGTAGTCTTCTTCAATCCAGAAGCCAAACCCTCCCAAGCTAAGTCCTTGGAGGTAGGATGCTAACTGTGCTAACTCCAACTCCAAAACAGATGCAAATGCAGCAGACACAAAGGAATGAGATGCACCCGTATCAATCAAAACATTAGCAACCGAGTTACAAAACAAGAAGGTACCTCTCACAACTGATGGAGTCGGTACAAGATCCTGCGCGGTAACAGCATACACGCGCCCAGAACGGTCTCGGTATCTCACACTCAGGTCGGAATACACCGTCAAACCCTTCTCAACCTTCCCACCGGAAAT